CAGAAAAATTCAAACAACAATTTCAAAATTCAAACAACATCAAAACGATTATAATTAAATACTTTTGATGGGAATTGGATCCATATAGTCTAGGAATAATAAGACGCTGGAGCACTCCACCTTCTACTGCGGACCACGGTCCACACTTACCTCCTCAAACTGACCAAGCGATTCCCAAGATCGATAGTCCATTGCAGGGGCTCATTATTGGGCCACCAAAGTCAGCCAATAGACAAGACCTAGTCTGTGGATTTCAGGTTCCCTTCGAGAATAGGGATAATCTCTCGCAGATGCACATGTTTCACCCTGAAAGGTGGTTCACTTTCCTGATACGGCTATCATATGTGCACAGTCTGTGACGGTACTGGGATGAAGCTTTGGCCCCCGACTTTAAGGGTCACCATTACACACAAGGATCACACAATCCCTCAGCTCACTCATTCGGGCATACTCCGACCTCATCAAGAGATGACCTATCATAACTTTAATCGGTTTAATCTCTACGCCCAGGTAATCTAGGTTTTTCCTAACCGACTAGCCTAACACGTCAAGTTCAATCTGGTTTCAGCAAATATCATTTGCTTAGTATGGTTCACACAGAACCATACTCCCACTGAGTTCAAGTTTCATTCTATCAAATGTTTAATTATAAGCACTCATAAGGCCTTTAATGGCCACATATACTCAACAAGCCCACCTAAGCCAGTCGGTACAAAAAGGTCCGCAGGCCGCCAACCCACCAAATTTTCAAACAATGTTTCTTGATATGTCCGTGGCACACACATGGCTATTTCTTTGAAGAAAGATGACTTTTTTTGTCCTTTTCCTACCCAATAATGAGGAAATAATAAAGGTGGGCCATGTATCTTTTTTTGACATAAAAAAAAAAAAAAAAAATCCATGGATCGCCTTCTTCTCCCAAGTCAATCTCGATAAAACCATCTACGGTAGCTTGACCACCCTCATTGAGTTTCCAAGGGGCAGACTCTGCTTTTGAGACAAGGACTTCTTCTTCCTCTTCATGAGAGATCTCTTTACAAACTTCGGTAGATGTAAGAGCCCGCGCTTACAATCAGACTTCGCCTCCACAAGACGTATTGTTTTTTGTACATCTTGGGTTGGTAGCCAAGTCGAATTATAATTTTGGCCTATTTCTTCAACCGCCACCCTTCCATTCCCAGTCATGCATTTGTGTTAGGGTTATAATATACTTTGCACGTCATATTATGCACTTGGGACCTGTACGTACGTTACTAAGGTTTGGTGGTACTGTCCTTCTATGTTACACCTTGACTTTTACTAGCAAGGTTAGGTTGGCAGAAGGGCTTTATGCCTCAACAAGTTTGCCTCTCCTTGGAGGACTCCTTTCAAATACACTTTTGTCAAGAGTTCCGACTTTATCATCAGCCCATAAAACCTCGTACGTGCGGATGATGGCATCTCTTAAACCACCTCCATGATCATAATATTATACGTCATTTTTTATGTATTTGTATCCTCGGTATGAATAAGAAGATAGTCAGTAGCAACCTGGTCTTACCGATACCCAAGACATCGCCAAACTATGGAAATACTGCAAAATAAGCCTAAAACTGGGCAACCTCTGAAAGAGTACTGAAACGGCTTCAAAAGGCATTAAATAGGTAGTTTGGGATGCTCAAAGGACGCTCACAAAGTTTTGTTATATTATGATAAGTTTTGATATGATCAGGTCGAAAGTCAATTCTCAAATCCAAATCCAATCATGTTGAAAAATGACCCTATAACTACATCCCTAGTTTTAGGGTCTCAAAATAGTACCAGACCTGCGCCATTAGATCTGAAACGTCGAAAAACTCCAATGACCAATTTCAGTCTCAATCGAACCTTTCAGGACAATTATAGGCCCAACTTACTATAAAAAGGTGGGTTTTACACTATTGCAGTGCTACCTCGGTAAACTAGTTTCCATATGTTTTCCTATTTCGGGATGATTTTCAAATGCTCATAACATGCTCATTTTGAGTTAAAACAAGCTCAAATTTGGACACAAGCTAGGTATCGACAACCCAGTCGTTTTGTCATATGGCAAACATCATGACATGGCTCGAAACGAGAGAATTTCTGGAGAGAAGATGAGCTTAAAAGCTTAAAAATCAGATTTTATACAAGAAGACGTCTCAAACTTCATGAAGTCATAACTCGAGATCTTGGCGTCGGATCGTTGCAAATATAGGTCCGTTACGACTGCGTCGGAAAGGGCTACAATCTGATATAGTTTTGCACACAATTGGAGGCTGCATAGTGCCAATTTTAAGGTTGAAAAAGGCAATATTTTTTTGTCGCCAAAATCCCTATTTCCGACAACTTCCCAAATTTGAAATATATTTATGTGGAAACCAAATCGGACGAAATTTAGTGCAAAATGATCGTGGCAATGTCCTCTTCAATTTGTGACTAAAATAACAACTTGGAACATCATAAATCACACCGGATTGGTAGTCGAAGTTTATGGACTTGGCCGAATTTTTTGTTTTTTCATGAAAAATCCATTTCAAGATGATCAAAGAGCATCAAAATGTTTGTGATAAATCAAGCATCGTTTCTACAATGATTGATCACCTAAATTACCATCGCAAACATCCGAAAAGCTCCCAAAATCTAGCAATGGCAAGAGGCCCCTCATGGAGGGATGGTTTTGTCATTTTCTCAAAAGAACTAAAGGGTATTTTGGTCGTTTGATTCAAAAACGGGATTTTATTTTAATTCATTTAATAAGTAATTTTCTACAATTTGGCTTAGTTTTGAGCATTCCACATTTATGTTGTAGTTTCTCTATATAAGTGAGCTTAAGTCGTTTGTAAAAAGGCTTGATTATTTTGAATGAAACTTGAGTATTGAAGAGTGAGTTTTAGCTTATTATTTTTCCTTGCTTCTAAGTTCTTGATCAAGTTGAGAGGAGAGAGAAACTTTAGGTAGAGTGAGAAAATACCCTTAGGCTATAAACTCTAGACCATAAAACACACCATAGACCCTAGACCATACACTACACCCTACACCATATACCACACCCTAGTCCCTAGTCCACACATTCTCACACCCTAACCTAGACCCAAACTTAGCCTTTCTCTCTCTCATGTGCATGCATGAGGACCCATAGAGGTGCACCTAGGTTAGGACACCCCCTAGTCCACTGTCTCTCCTTCCTCCCTTCCCTTTCTTTCTTGTTTCTATCTCTACCCCTCTATTCTCGGCGCGAAGCACATGGTTGCACCTAGCAGCGGCCCCCGGCTCTGCTCACACTCCCCCTCTTGGCTCCCCTTTTTTCCCATCCTCTTGTTTCACGTGAAAGCCTACGGCTGCACCTACCTCTCTCTCTTTGTCTCTCTTCTCCTCACCCAGATTGCACACATAGTTCAGGGCCGCATCTACTAGCGGCCCCATTTCTCCCTTCTCGTTTCTTTGCTAGCCCTTGCCTCTCTTCTTTTCCTCCTGTTGCAGGTACCCAAGGCCGCACCTGACCGCTGCCCGTCTTTCTCTTCTTACTTCTTCATCAACCCTTCTCCCTTCTCTTGCTCTTCACCTAGGGCTGCACCAGACAGCGGCCCCGGCTCTTTGCCCTCACATCTCTTCCCTGTCGTTGCCCCCTCTCACGCGTTGTAAAGCCCGGGCCGCCCCTAAGTGCGGGTCCTTTTCGTTTTCCCATCTCCCTCTCGCCTCTAAGCCCAAGGCAGCACCTGAGTGCGGGCCTAACTCTCTTCCTTGCTCTCTTCTTTGTTCCTCTTCCTCTTACCCAACTCAAGCACAGGGCTGTGCCTGAAAGCCGGCTTAGGCCCTCTTTCAATTGCCTCCCTTTCTGTGCCCCCTATTACTTGCTGTTGAACTCGGGCCTGCGCCTAGAGGTGGGCCTGACCATTCTCCTCCTTGCTCTCTTGTTCTTCCTCTTCTCTTATTTGAAATTAGGCCCAAAGCAGAGCGGGCCCAACTTTCTTTACTTGTTTCCACATTTTCTCTCCTATCTTGTGTTCACTAACCATTCAAGCATGCGCACACTCTAAGCATACCCCATTCTCATGCATTATCAACCCCACTTCTAGCTGCACGTACCCATAACCCGAAACCTCGCCTAATTCCATCCCCTTGCATTGGTAGCTTCTTCTATTACTTAGCATTTGACTCGGTGCCATTTAGAGTTGTTTTAAGAGTTTTAACTCACTTGAATCTCAATTCCGTACGGTCAAATTGAGTTGCGAAAGATATTTATGCTCTTGCCCTCGCTCATTCGGATGGGGTCATCCTGAGTTAGCACTCCATAGAGTTCTGACTCTTTGACTGTTCTAATCGCCGAGCTTCATAACACCCAAGTTGTAAGAAGCTTCCATCACCCTTCTTTCTTCATCATAGCTTTGCCAACCACCCACTCAATTATGCCATTAAAGAGTGTTTTCATTCGCATCCAAACTACGCTGCTAGACAGCCAGAGAGCTTCATAATTGTTCTAAAAAGGCGATTACCAATGCATATCCCCAAATCCCAAACGATAAGATAGACGTCAAAACGCTTCTTTGTCGATTAAAATCTCTCATTGTTGGTTTCTACCGGCACTAAAGAGCACACATGCACGCTAAAAGCGCATAGGCCCTTGTGGTTATCCGAGAGAGTTTTCCCCATCCCCACAAAAACAAGGCCCCAACTACACGGCTATGGCCATAGCTGGCCATAGCTTCAAGGACCTCTGGGCACAGTGCCAGAAGTGGTTGCATTCCACAGTGTTGCATCCTATGGAAGTTCAAACGCTGGATCTGCGATAATGGGAATCTGCTCATGAATATTGTATGCTATTTTCCATTTTAGCCGTACTTAAAATATCGGTGCAGTGTTGAGGGAAGGACTCCTTTGTCATACATCCAAGGGTGCCCAAGCTACGCAGCATTTGAGGTATTCTCATTCAGAGGGAAAGAGCAGACAGTACCATATAACTTAAGTTATAAGAAATTAAGAATGGTGAGAAAGAGCAGACAGCACTATATAACTTAATTTCTTGATTTCACCAATAAAATTTTCCAACAGGAGCTCCATACAATTGTGTAACTAAATTTCATGACACCACCAATGGAATTTTCCAACAAGAGGAGCTCCTGAGAATTCATTCCCGCACAGGTAGTTGGTGGTATCTTTAACCAAGGGTAAAAAACATGCAACATTGGTGACACTTACAACCACTGGGTGATGCACCAGGATCACTTGGAGCCTAGGGCAAAGGAAAGCTTAGGGCGAGTTTTGTTTTTTCCCAGTAACTTCATCTGATTAGCCCTCTCTTCCTCTTCCTCCAATTTCTTTCTTCTCATAGCCTCTTCCTTCTGCCTTTGGATCTGCTCCAGCTCCCTGTAGCGCTCTTCCTCTTTCCTCTGCTGCTCTAAAGCTTCTCTCTTCTGAGATTCTTCTACTCTTCTCCTGTTTTCTTCCAGCATCCTATCCAGTTCTTCCCTCTCCTTCCTTGCTTGTTCCTGCAAATAATAAAATGCTTTGGAGATTAGATGCGTACTTCGGGATGGAAAGGAAAAATATGCTGGAATAACAGTGGAATGTGTAGAATAAACAAAATTGGAAACATCTCAACACAGACAAGAGCCTATTGTTGTAATAATTAGAGATCCTCTATGGCTTCATAAGAAGCTCAAAAATATGACTTTACATGTCCAGCAAACCCCACTTCACAGACAAATACGACACAAGCAAAATGGAGAACCAAGTAAAAATTAATCACAGAAAACCAGACTGAACAATAAAAAAAAAAAAAAACGTTACCGAAAACCCCACTTCACTGACAAGTGCAAAACAAGCAAAATGGAGAACCAAGAAAAAATTAATCACAGAAAACCTGCCTGTAAAAACAAAAAAAACAAGAAGATTCAAGGAAAGCTCACAATTAACATTTTGACAAACACATTCAAATTCCCGAATCATCAAGACTGATTTCATGTGAAAGGAGTATTGTTTATAGGGAAAGCTGGCTTTTCTTTTATCTCGAAACTGCTTTTTAGGTCACGAAATAGTAATACACAGGAGAGACCAAAAATAACATATAAACAAATAAAACAATAGAAACCCCTTCAGATCTAGTAAATTTTGGTGCACATTACCACTACAGAGTAAACTTCTAATACGAAAATTATCATTGCACCAGGTAAACTTGCAATAGGAAAATTTATTTAGGGCCTGTCAGGATTGTGTAGCCTATAATGGCCTCTTTGTGCACGTGCCCCACTTTCTACAACATTTGCTGCAGCACCTATACCTACAGATATCAGCCCCATCTGCATTAAAAATTCTTAACTACAAAAAGGCTTTTTGCTTCCATTGTGAATGCACTGAGAAATCACCCCTCATAGGAACAGAAGCGCCCATTGTTGGAAAATTGACCCGCCCAACGGCCTAGGCGGTCAGAGGCCCTGGGCACATCGCCCAGGCATAGTTGAGCAGGTGCGGGAGCATGCATAAAGGAGGGTGCCTAGGAGCCCAGGCACCCGCCTAGGTGGACAGCACCCAAGAAAAATTACAAAGGGGCAAAATGCCCCTCGGTAAGAGGCATTTTAAGTCTTTTTGCCCCCAAATTTTTCTTGGTTTCAATACTTGAAATCTTTGTGATAGCTTGAAAATATATTTTCATCTCTAATTATAAAATTTAAAGCTTCAAAAATAGTGTTGATCGAGCAGATCCATGAAAATCTTGAAAATTGATGATCCAAAAATGCATTTCAAGATGCACTATTTCCAAAACTTGAAATCCATTTGTTCTCATGTTCATGCATCTTGAGGTCAAGATGATCAATTTGAAGATATTTGGGCATCAAAACAACCTCTTCTAGTGAAATTATTTAGGTGCGCCATAATTTGAATGTTTAGAGCCTCGCACTAATATAATCTTTTTCCTTTGAATATTTCTCATAAGATTTCATACATATGTTTTTTTTTTTTGCTTTTTGTTTATGTTATTTGTGATTTATTTCATCTTTAGAATGCAGAATAGAAGGGCTTTGATGTGTTTTAAGTTTGTTTACAAATTTGGATTAGGATTTGAAGCCCAAATTCATTAAAACTAAAACCAAATCAAACGTAATTGTCTCTCTAATTTTTTGTTCATTATATTTATGTTACTTGTGAAGTTTTTAACCTTTAGTATAGGGATTTGTATAGTTTGGGTGTGTTTTTAAGTTTTTTACCTTTTTACTTCAACTTTGAATCAGGATTTGAAATCCAAAGTTCAATAACTTGAACCTACAACTAAAATAAACCAAATTCTATCGCTAACTGTCTCATTCGTTATTATTTTATTTATTTATTATGACTTTTTACAAATTTAGAATATAGATCGGTATAGTTTGGTTGTGTTTATCATGTTGTTTCTATAATTTGTGAATTTTTTGCAACTTTAGAATATGAATTGTTAGAAAACATACTACAATTGGGCCCAACTAGTCGGCCTAGACCCCTATTGCCTTTTCCAATGTTAGAAGCCCCTGCTTTTTTCTATTTTTTGTTTAAGATAGGTGTAGCAGCTCCACGGCCATAGGTGAATATGGCCACAGTTGTCCCTCTTAAAATTGACTTGTGATACTCCTAGTTAAAAAGTACTACCTCCTTCTGCCTTGCCTCATTGAGAGCAGCTTCCTTTTCCTTCTCAAGCTGAACAGCTACCTCCTCGAGTAATTTCTTTCGACCTTCCTCGATTCGCCTATGTATTTCAAGTTTTATCTCCTCAGAGTTCAAGCTTTCCTCAACTTTTCTCCGTATGGCCTCTTCCATTCTCCTGGCAGTTTCCTCTTCTAATAGCTTTAATTCTGCCTCGCGTTGGTGCCTGAAGAAGAGAAAAATGAAATCTTAAATAGGAAAAATCGCAAAATTCCGATAGCTAACGGTGAAGTATATATGATTTGAGAGCCACCCATAAGTAACAAGCATTAAGACAAGCTTTATTTATCATAAAGAGTAACTAACCTTTCCACCCATCAAAAATTCTAGAAACAAGCATATGCTTTTAAGGCATACCTCTCTAACAGATTCCTGATCGAAACAAATGAGTTTTCAAACTGGTGAACAGTAGATAAACCAGGTACCAAATGGATCATCAAATATAACAAGTTGAACTATAGAAGTAGCTTCCTTCAGAAAAGCCTGTGGAGAAGAACGTCAACAGAGCTGCTGCAGGTATTTAATTTAAAACTAAACATGAATAGCTTAAATTCCTCACGCTGAAGAAGGTAGACACAGGCAATGTGCTCAAACTACCAAAACATAAAAAAAACAAAATAAAATGGAAAAAAAAAGAAATCAGAACCCTGAAACGTTCAGGGCACAAAAGGTATCAATGAGAAGAATGTCATGTCTTTGGAACAACTCTTCGATCAAACGGTGGTGCTTACCATTAAGCTCCTTTCCAACCACCATACCTGGTGAAAGACGAACCCTGTGGCCGATGCCCTCACCAAAGGTGGGGCAGCCAGTAAAAACATTTACCATCTGTGTGTCTGCTTCCTGATATCTTTCATTTTCTTGAACAATAATACAATATGTAAAGGGTATGGTTTGTATAATGTTGCAACCTTAAACAATCAAATTAAGGCACACCTCCCAATTTTATCATAACATGTAATTTTTCTCTAAAATGTTTTTAGGATTATCTGAAAATCTATTTTCATATCTAATTATAAAACATTAAACTCCAAAAATGGTTAAAATTAAGTAAATTTATAAACATATGAAAACCTTGAAAATGGGCAGTCTAGATAATGTGTTGCAAGATGCACTATTTCTGGGACTAGAATTTTTTTTTTTTCATATTCATACATCTCGACATCGAGATGATCAATTAGAAGGTTTTCAACATTCAAACAACCTTTTCCAATGGATTTTTGAGGTGCATCTTTAATTCTACATTTTAAGGTTGCAACCTTATATAAATGTTTTCCGTATGTAAAACCTTTAATGTACAAAGCTTCGTTTTTGGTATTGCATGCCCATGTTTTGTCAAGGATTTTGTCCACAAAATTTTATACATTTCTCTATTACTATTAATACAAGAAAAAGTGTTTGATGAGTCATCCAAAAACCATCTTTAAGATGAGAGGCCAGGCCATAGAGAAGACCCAACTAAATTTCCAAAATAGAAGTTGTAAAAAGAATTCGAAAAATTATCTTTTTAAAATTTTAAAAAATTTATTTATCTATTTTTACATATTCATGATCCTCATGTTCATGGTTATGGATCACTAATATTTGGATCTAAAATCAATATTTAATGTGAATCTTGGAGGGGGACGAATATGAATAAGTGAGTCAGAAAACTCACCAAAACTGTATCCTTAATACAAATGTCATTTATACTAGTCAGTAAGGCTAGCTCGACCTATACTAACCTCTAAGCGAAGCAAGAAGCACTGAAAGCCTTCATTAACAAAATATAATTAAAGAAAAAAGAAGTATGTCATGATTACTGTGCTGGGATATTTTTGGACAAAATAAAAAGAAATATCAAAATTTACTACATTATCCACACTTTTCAAACTCAACCCTTTTTTTTTTTTTTTTTTTTGGGGTTAGATCAATGGAGAATACAGGCCCCTACCCATTTTTAGAAATAGTTCGTGGTTTTCGAATACATCAGTGAGAATGGAAACCTAGACTAATAGCTAAGGCTCAAGTGGTGCTACCACCATGACATCAACCTTATTTCCAAAATGACCCACAAATAGACCAACATGAACTTTGGCGGACACAAAACGCCTTGGCGGTGAGGTTTGGACCACTAGGCAGGTTCTCAGACCCAAAGGCAGCATGTGTTGTCTTTTTTTGGAATGTTGGATCCCCATACTTCCCCCCCATTTTATTGTATATATCAATGTTCAATAAGTTTGAGGGGGGCGCCCATACCCCAAAAAAAACTGGCGATTTTTTTTAAAAAAAATTTGGACCCCATACCTCCCCCCATTTTATGATATATAAAATAGTCTGTTTTATTATTTAATAAGTAAGTTTTGTATGTAATAAATTGTTAAGATGCAGGAAACATAGATCAAACCTAAACATTTACAACTTTAGACTGTAAATATAATTAATTATAACTCAAAATAAACATTAAAAGATAAAATGAACTCAAGATGTCATTTCAATCTCGCAAATCACAAGTCACTCACAAGAGACAAAAGTTTCAAAAGTCATTAGCAAAAAGTCATATGAACTCATATCCGACCAACAAAGCCCACAAACTACAAAAAGTCTTCTTCAGCCCACAAATATGATGAAGTCAATTATAAGCTTGAGTTTCATCATCACTATGAACGCGACGTCGTTGTCTGGCATGCAATCCACCTAATGAAAACTATCAAAATATACCAACATTCTTGAAGTGGACTCGATTTCGGGCCAAACCGAAATGTTTAGGATCCCAAATCTCCTCTTTTACAACCCCTATAAGCCTCAAAAAGATTGGGATTGATTATCCTTTAATATCGTGACCATTCGAGGATTTCGAAAAAAATTTCGATCTCTCCAAAAATCTTAAAATCTAGTTTTTTTCAAGTTGTTTCTCACTCTAAAGTTCCCTGAATTTGTTTTTGGGGGCAAGAATGACCCCCGAAACCCTTATCCCCCCTTTTAAGGGGGTAAAATGACTTTTTTGCCGCCACCTAAGAATGTTTTCCCGCCATAGCCCTAAAGGCCGCCTAGGCAAGCACCTTTTACCGCCTTTTTGACCGCCTAACTGGCCGCCTAACCGCCTATTCGAGCGCCTCATTCTGGTGCCTAACAAGTACTGCCTTAAGAACGCCTAGGCAATCGGGCAGCCGGCTTTTTAAACATTGGTATATATTCTATAATAATAATTACAAATTAATACTATTTTTATGGTTAATCAATAAATTAATTACTATCACATGCAAAAAAACATTTTTGATAAATAAATAATTACGAATTAATAAGATCTTTTGATTTGCCAATAAATTAATAACTATTGTTACATGCAAAAAGCATTTCGATAAATTAATAATTACGAATCAATAATATCATTTGATTTACCAATAAATTAATAATTATTGTCACATGCAAAAATCATTTTCGATAAATTAATCATTACGAATTAATACTATTTTTTTATTTACCAATAAATTAATAATTACTATCACATGCAAAATGTATTTTCGATAAACTAATAATCACAAATTAATGCCACGTTTTGGATTACGAATAAATTAATAATTATTGTTACATGCAAAAAGCATTTTTTATAAACTAATAATTACGAATTAATACTCTTTTTTTATTTACCATTTACCAATAAATTAATAATTATTGTTACATGCAAAAATTATTTTCGCTAAATTAATAATTATGAATTAATACTATTTTTTTTGTTTACCAATAAATTAATAATTATTGTCACATACAAAAAGCATTTTCGATAAATTAATAATTACGAATTAATACTATTTTTTTGGTTTACCAATAAATTAATAAATATTGTTACATGGCTACTGTCACATGCAAAAAGCATTTCAGATAAATTAATAATTATAAAATTAATAATATTTTTTTGATTTACCAATAAATTAATAATTACCATCACATGCAAAAAGCATTTTCGATAAACTAAAAATTAAGAATTAATATTAATTTTTGGTTTACCAATCAATTAATAATTATTGTTACATGCAAAAAATATTTTTGATAAATTAATAATTACGAATAAATTAATAAATTAATATTTTTCGATAAATTAATAAATTAATATTTTCGATAAATTAATAAATTAATATTATTTTTTTGGTTTACCAATAAATTAATAATTACTATCGCATGCAAAAACATTTTTTGATAAATTAATAATCAATAATTACCAATAAATTAATTATTACGAATTAATAATTACTAATTAATCAATTATAATTACGAATTAATTATCATATATTCAAGGCAGCGGCAAAGTGCCCGCCTTTTACACCGCCTTGGAGGGCGCCTTGGGCACCTAATGTTTTTGGCTTAATGTTGTCCGCCTTGACCACGCCTTGGCGTTTTTTAAAAAAGTGCGCCTAGGCGACTGACTTTTCGAACATTGATACCTGCCACTAGTTTCTTAGAATTACTTCAAATACGAACCATTTCTCAACATGTCGTCATGAACTGGTGCATGTTAACCTTCTTTCTTTATTCCAATTTTACCAGTCAAAATTCTCAAAATACTGCTCACGGTATGGCAAAAGACTTAACCAAGAACACCAAAAGAAGCATTGACAAAGTCATCATGAACGTGCACAACACTTCCCATGGGTAACATGTGTCCAAGGGACAGTACCAAATTGAGACAATGTAAAACAAGTGCACACTAAACATATCCCATGACCAATAAAGTATCGCTTTGAAGATCAAAGTCACACAAAATCAATCAAAAGAAAGAATCCCACAATGAGCAAAAGAAAATGCCAGGTGACATTTTCAAAGAAGATACAAATGCCTTCTTCAAACACATGGAGTAGGGATCAATTTGGTCGCCATTGATATAAGCAGGCAGGATATCCCTCATAAATGGAGAGTGACTATGGGCAGGACTCAAGACACCAAAGCATGCAACAGTATTAAAGGCTGGGGTTGAGTTGTTAGAATAGGACTTAATGTGGAACACGACTAATAATCTACTTGATTCCATTATTTAATAAAGGGCGCGGTTTGTATAGAGCTGAGGCTCTAAACAATCAAAGCAAAACACACATTCAAATAGTGTCGAGAAATGTAGTTTCACTACTAGAAATCTTTGTGATAGCCTTAAAATATATTTTCATCTTTAATTATAAAATTTAAAGCTTCAAAAATAGTGTAGATCAAGCAGATCTATGAAAACTTGAAAATCTTGACAATTGACGGTCCAAAAATGCGTTACAAGATGCACTATTTTCAAAACTTGAAATCCATTTTTTTCTTATGCCCATGCATCTTGATGTCGAGATGATCGATTTGAGGATATTTGGGCATCAAAAGAACCTCTTCTAGTGCAATTTTTGAGGTAGGCTCTAACTTGATTGTTTAGAGCCTTGGCTCTATATAAACTTTTTCCTTTAATAAAATGTTAGTTTTTGTCCTTAATAAATAGCAAACTATGACTTTCCTTTGTAATTTCCAAAGAAATTCTTACAACCAATAGATAAAGGTAAGTTAGCCAAAGACCAAGCACACTACAAGTCTGCCTGAATCAGAAAAGCTGTTCCCACACCTTATTTTGGTAGTACAATTTGTAATATTAACAACAGACACCAAGCTGTGGGAAACTCCCAGGATCGCTAGAAGCCTAGAATGAAGTCCCTTGTATAGGATGAAGTATTATAAGGTGAAGATCACTGAAGAATGCATTTGATTATCTCCTAAGTTTCAAAAGAACATATTTCTGTTCCTATCTTTCACAGCAAAGAAGAGACATGGCAAAAGCAGTAGCACAGGAACAATATTTCATTTGCGTAAGAGAAACAAAAAAAAGATAATTATCACAAACATAATTTAAGGAGTCAGAGTAGACCTTCTGCAATCCATCAAATAAAGTACCAGCACACTTTATCAGGTTTATGGTTAACATCCTGACAAATGGAGCATCCTAAATGAAATATCAGCTCCGTAAGCAAGGCATATGTTAACAAGAGTTACAAACCCGTGTCCAGAGGTGAACCCCAGTATCAGCAATGAAAAACACAGTTAGTCAATCTAATAAGGCAGTATACTTCATGTCTTACATTTGTGAAGTTCATTTTCTGAAATACAAGTTAACGTTCTCGACCCATAAGAATAAGGCATTATGTTCATATTAGGTTGCCAATATAGGATTATACCTTTTCTTATCCTCTTCCTCCTTTCGCAGTTTCTCAATGCCGTTCTTCCTCTCTGTGGACCCAAGGCTTGTACTTCGAGACTGGCGAATAGGAGACAGAGTAACACTCCTACTTCTGTGTCTCTTGTGCCACCTTGGTGTTGGTGTACGGCTTCTTCGACGTCTAGGTGTTGGTGAACGACTTTTGCGTCGCCGTGGGGATAGAGAAGTGCTTTTTCGCCTGTTTAAGAAAGCCAAATTGAGCAAATTGAAAGCAACAAACAGAGAAGGAAATTAAGCAAAATACCCTCATAAAGTATATCATAGAGTAAATCCCATGATCTTTCTCACCTGTGTAAGAAACCAAAGGAGAAATTAAATTCAGAAATAGATAAAAGAAATTCAGGTATACAATTCTCTGTAAGAATACAGTAGGGCATCACATACGGTGCCCTCTACATGACTAACTATACTACCTCAAAGATAGAAGACTTTGGGCATAGTTAGTTCCAGTTGGTTGTTACCTAACCTTTGCAAGCTCGAGTGAAGTCTCAAACCTCGACATCAATCATCCCATTGAAAGTAACAGCAGCACCTCACCCGCTATCTTGCTTCTTTAGTCAATTTTACTGAAAGAAGGGTCTACATCTTTCTGTTTTTTCTTAAAGGAAGATTACATAACCATCTTTTCACTCTTATTGTCCCCCAACCCAACCTTTAGACTTAAACCAAATGAAGCTGTCAAGGATATAGTTGAACAACAGGATAGTATGACGGTTGAATATCCTTTCCCCCAGTATTTGAAGCGGTTTATTCATTGCCATCAAAAGGAGCCCACTAGTAGAAAGAGAAATTCCCAAAACACACATCTATAGGGATCCTGGTGCACACCCCATGTTTGACAAAGGAGTGACTAACATAGAAAAGACGTATCAAATGGTGGCGATCCTCGAGTAAATTTAAGCTGAGCATGCTGTCAAAGAACAGGCCACAAGAAGCTCTTGACAGGACATTTCTATACAAGAATGTGAATGTAGATACAAATTAACCTTCAGGAGCACAATGCAAAGTTATTTGGTTAAATAATTAACAGAGCTTAAAAAACCAACTGTTACACAAAAAAAGAAAATCGCATAAGAGAGTAAATAAGGATTACGTGATCGACATAAAACCATAACCACTATGGCTTCTTTTTTTAAAAAAAAAATCCATGACAAACATATTGATTCCATTTGAAAATGATGATTACAGTGAGTTCATAAAGAAACAAGAAAAAAATAAACTAAGATAAAGGAACTGATAGGAAGTGGAAGAAGTAACACCGAGAAACAAAAACATCAATTTGATTTGATTCATCAGTTTCCCAATTGATAATAACAATAATAAAAAAAAAACTCAATGGACACAGAGAGGGGAAAAAAGGAAAAAATGAAAAGAAATACAACGAGTAATAATGAGGGTATGGGTATCACCTGCTATGGTTATACGAATAAGGAGATCGGCTTCGATCCCTTCTGCTCCTCCTGCTATGCCTGCGGCTAACTGGAGAAGGAGAGTGCCTCCTCACATAAGAAGGAGACCGCGAGAATGTCCGAGCCATCAAATGATTAGCAGAAGCACTAGACGATCCCACAATCAATCAACCATCAAAAAACAGTCCAATAACACCAAATACAGACCTGCAACAATCAATGAATCAAACAGCAATCATCAAATCCATGAACAGATACAAGGAACTTCTTTAATCGGATTGGGAAAACCTAAATTGGCCTCGAAAGCAAAGTCCAAGAATGAAACCGCATGTTTGGCAATCTACACGGGAGCATATACTACCATAGAAACCCTAGGGGCGACGAAAAGAAACTCCTTGAAAATTTCGTTCTGGTTTATTTCACAGTACGGGAAAATAATCAGTTGAAAATGTGTGTGTGAAAGAGAGAGAGAAAGAGATGGGGCAACCTTTGGATCTCCCAAATTCGAATGGGGTTGGCTTGCTGGTCAGTGTGAGGGATAGAGTATGAATATGGTGGTAAGAAGAGGTAGCATCTGTGATTGAGGAGGACCAGAGATGGAAATCTAGTAAAACCCTACCCAATGGAAAACCAGCCTAATTGTACATATCCGTAGAAAGATAAGTAAAAACGAAGAGGGTAAAGGGAGCCGAATATGTTTCTTCTTCCTACATGATTTGGGGTAGGTTGCCAAAGCCAAGGGGTGATGATGGACCGAAGGAAAATTGTTTTATGCGAGTTGGACCGCATTTCTGCATATGCGGTCTAGAAAGTGTAAGGCATCCATCTTAAAGATTGATGCAAGTAGGTATTTCATCTAAAAACAATAGGAACTAACGGTCCAAATGTTTCCTTATTAGAATTATCATTTCTAGTTTTAAAAGTTTATTTATTTTTTCATATTCATGATGTCCATGTTAGAGATTGCATCACTTTAAAAATTAAGTCTTAAAATCTATCCCAAAAATAGATTTATTAAGAGGCTTACATTTTTACATATGCGAGCTTGGCTGCATGGAAACCGGGTCAGCAGAAAGACACGTTTTATGTGACTGGGCTAACTCACTAAAATATGTGCATCTCCTGTTCATGTGAAAGCATTAGACATCCATCTTAGAGATGAAGGTAAGAAAAGTGGTTTTACTGTATATCAAAATGGATGGTGGAAAACAAGAGCATGTATATGTTCCCTCAAGAGCATTGTTTGCTTCTAGTCCCTCCGTCAGATGAACTACTTGGGAGGTTGTTTTTAATTTAAACTTTTGGTAACTACCAAATAACCATTAAATGATATTTTTTAAAAAAATGAAATTGGAGTTTTTTAATGCTTGGATCTCACCCTGTAAAAATTGGATGGTTCCTATTTAGTCTTGAGACATCATTTTTTTAAAGTGCTTAGAGGATAAAATTAGGATTTTTCTTATTGATATCAATTTATTGTTAAAGAGATTATATCCCCAAAAATTGGGGTCCAAAAACAAATCCTAGGTGGGATTTTACACCAACGAGTAAATAAACAATATACTTTTGAGGGAGCAGAATATCTTTTGGGGGAAAATAAATATACAAAAAATGAAATTTTTATTTTTTTCGAGAAAAAAATTCCAAAATCACAATAGAGGGATGCACATCAATAAGCAGGGCGGCCTACTCACCAAACGCTTTATCCTAACAGAATTGGCTTTAGTTCACTTTTTGATAAATATGATAGATCAACTATTTAATATTGTGTGCGGTTTGTATAGAGCCAAGGCTCTAAACAATCAAAGTAAACCGCACCTTCAAATAGTGTTGAGAAATGTGGTTTGAGTACTTGAAATCTTTGTGATAGCTTTAGAATATATTTTTATCTCCAATTATAAAGTTTAAAGATTAAAAAATAGTGTAGAGCAAGCAGATATATGAAAACTTGAAAATTTTGAAAATTGACGGTCCAAAAATGTATTACAAGATGCACTATTTCCAAAACTTGAAATCTATTTTTTTCTCATGTCCATGCATCTTGAGGTCAAGATGATCAATTTGAGGATATTTGAGCATCAAAACAACCTCTACTAGTAAAATTTTTGGGGTGGGCTCTATTTTGATTGTTTAGAGCCTTGGCTCTATATAAACTTTTTCCTTTAATATTTCACCCATATCTTTTTATTTAGTTTAGTTGGAATAATTGACAAAAAAAAAAGTAGAATGTCAAATTGTTAAAAAAGTGAATTGCCTTTTGATTAATTTCCAAAAAAAACCTTTTCCACTTTATTTTGTGGTCCGAATAATCCAACAATAGGTCTAGCATTCAAAAAATGTGGGTTCCTTTTTATTCAAAAAGTATTGTATGCGTTTAGAGACGAATTTCTAGATTTGCATATGTATGGTCCCTCTAAAAAAGACTTAAGATCAATGATTTACATATTTTCTTCATAAAATTATCATTTTTAATTCACGATCTCCACATTAAAGATTACATATTCCTTAAAATTCATGTGAGAAATATATGTTTTTTTGAATTGAACTTATGGGAGAAAATCTCCTATATGTATACAAAGAGAATATACAAAAGAGGAAAGAAAATTACATGACCTGTATAATATACAAAAAAAGAAAGGAAATATTATCCTATCTATAAAGAAAGTATATATAATTTCACACTCCCCCTCAAACTCGTGATGGTCAGAAGCGAATCATTGAGAATTTGGAAACAAGGCTTGAAAAACAAGGAGCATTATAGGACTTCTTAAAGAAATCAGCAAGTTGTGCAGAAGATGAGATATACAGCAGAGAGATCGTCATTGTTAAATATTCATGTTGAATAAAATGACAATCTACCTCAATATGCTTGGTGTAATTCTGGATTCTTAGCAATATAAATGGCACTTTTGTTATTACAATATAAATGAGTAGAACCAGAAGGTTTCACACCCAAGCCACTAATAACCAGCAAAGCCAGACAATCTCCATCGTTGTTTGAGCCATGGCTCAGTACTCGGCTTCAGTTGTAGACTAAGCAATACATTTTCACTTCTTATTCTTCCAAGAAATAAGGGAGTTACCAAGAAATTACAAAAATTTATAGTAGACTTCTAATCAGTAGTGGCCTCGCAAAATAGAAATCAGTGTATGCACGAAGCTCAAGAGTAGAATATGAAGAGAACAACAGAGTATGATCAAGTATGTCTCGAATATAAAGAAAATACGTAAAACAACTGCCAAGTGTAAAAAATGATGGGCACTCAATAATTGACTGAAAAGATGAGCAACATAAGCAACGTCCGACCGAGAGATAAAGATAAATCAAGCTTCCAACATGCTATCTGTAAAATGTAGAATCAGGAAGGAGTTCACCATCTATAGAATGAAGTTTGACATTCAATTCAATAGGTGTATCAACATGCTTTGTATCATCAGCCAGATGAGCTCGAGAACTAATATCGGAGGGCATACTTAAGTTGAGAAAGCAAATACCCAGGGGAAAAATAAGAAACCTCTAGGCCTAAAAAATAATTTACGAATCCCAAATCTTTCATCTCGAAAAGCTGACTAAGTTGTTGCTTGATCAGATGAATGGTGACTTCATCATCATCAGATATAATTATATTATCAAAATAGATTACGAGGATTGTACATCCTCTAGGCATGACTGAGAAAAACATGGCAGGCTCATGATAGCTTTGTCGAAAACCTGCGGAGAGAACAATAGAACTAAAATTTTCAAACTAAGCATGAGGAGCTTGTTTAAGCTCATAGAGTGCGTGCCATAGTCGACAGACTCTATTGTCAACCCAGGTGGTAACTTCATATACACGTCTTTTGTAAGACACCATTAAAAAAAATGTATTTTTGACATCGAGTTGATATAATGGCCATTAGCAAACAGTAGGCACATAAATCAAAGTGTGCATTGTAGTCATGTGAGCAACAGGAGAAAATGCTTCAACAAAATAAATCCCAAATTGTTGATTATAATCTTTAGCCACAAGTCGTGCCTTATAGCACTCTATACTGCCATCAACTTTAGTTTTAATTTTGTACACCCACCGGCAACCGGTAACACTTTTATCTTTAGGAAGAGGGAAGCATACATTCTATCAAGGGCGGTCAATTCTTCCATCATGGCATATTGCCACTCATGTTGTGTGGTTGCTTCCTCATAAGTTTGCAGCTCAGAGTAATAATGAACATAAGCAAGAAAGGCTTGATAGTTTGGTAAAAAGGTTTCATAATTAATAAAACGAGTAGGTAAAACAGATACACTGTTACTACGGCGGACAAAAGGTGGTTGTACATGAGCTGCAAGTGTATGTGTCTGAAGTGGTTCATCAGCAGTAGTTGAGTGGTCTACAACCGACCCATATGTCAGAGGTATGGACTAGGTTCTAGACACATCAGAAACATCATCAGAGAAAGGGACAAGAAAAGAAGTGGAAGAGGAGTCAACAACAATTGGAATGGAATGAAAATGAATATGCTCAGAAAATATAACATGTTGGGATACTAAAAGTTTCTTAGTCATGGAGTCATAATATCTATATCCCTTTTGGCGGTCAGGATAACCCAAGAAACAACATTTAACTACTTTGGCTAACAATTTATCCCGATCATATGCTGACAACAGAGCAAAGCAAGTGTAGCCAAAATCACGAAGAATAGAATAGACTAGGGGTTGGACAAACAATTGCTCAAAAGGGGAACATCCAGACAAAGCAGCAAAAGGTATAATATTAATAAGATAAATAGTTGTGCGAATATCTTCTGCCAAGATCGGTGTCGTTGTGCCTTCCCTTCTTTTCTAGGAACGTGTCGTTGCGCCTTCCCGAACCTCCCGACGACGCAACCTTCATTCTCCCTTCTTTCCTCGATCGGTGGTCCTCGCAATCTCTTTCAATTTTCAGGGCGAAGTCTACCATCGGGGCGTATGACTTTAGGTTGGCCAAATCACTCTACCCCTTATATCCAACGGTAGGCCCCTCTCAAACTTGGCCACCTTCAGTGCCTCTGTATTAATAATGTGGGGTGCGTACCTCGAGAGTTTTGCGAACCTAGTGGCATATTGCTCCATAGTCATGTTCCCTTACTGGAGCTCAATAAATTCTACTTCTTTCCTCTCCCTGACTGAGTCTGAAAAGTATCCTTCATCAAAGGCTATCGGAAAGTTCTCCCAATTGGGTTCGATTCTTAACTCCCTCCAGGTCTGCTTAACCGAATCCCACCAGTGTTCGGCTTCTCCTTCTAGCATGAATGTCCCGAGTCTAACTTTTTCTCATCCGAGCTGTGCAATACTCCTAGAATCTTCTCTATCTACCTCTTCCATCTTTTAGCCTTCTCTACTCCTTTCCCCATAAAGGTTGGAGGCGCTAGCCTTCTAGACCTCTCAATCAAGATACTATTGTTCTGTTCCGGGGTACGGGTGGGCTGAACTGGCATCGACTCTTTCATCATCTAGGCCATGGCTCCCAAAGTCCTATAGAACTCACCGAATGCTTCGGTGTTCTCATTGCTGGAACTCGCGATATGGGAATGAGCTCTCAGCATCTTCAACGTAATCACAGGAGCACCCAGTCACTTGACTACCCCAGATCTATTCTAAAGACTCTCCTAACCATCCTATCCCCGCTGCTCTGATAGCATAACTGTCACGATCCCTCTCCCGGATGTCTAACCTTCTATATGGAAGATGACCGGGCACGGAT